ATACAACTCGCGTGTAACCCAAGGTGTCCTAGACTTTTTGTGATTTATTATTGGTCGGAGAGGAAAGGCTCCATTGTTAATGTGCTTCATCTTCTGCAAAGCAATTGCATGACTTACATTTTTTTTTTATTATAAACGTCATCCCAACTTGTATCTTTTATCATGTCACGGAAAGAAGCGACGGCATTTACACTAAAATTTTGTCGTAATACAGGAGGATCATGATAACGACAATTTCGCGTTTTAATTAGTGGTAAAAAGCAGTATATTGGCAAAAGGTCGCTCAAAAGAAATGTAAGAATACCCACAATAACATCATTTGGGTCGTGGCTAGAAACCCACAGATCGTGGGTGAGTGAATAACGTCTGAGCAGCCAAAAGATTCAACAACGTCAAGAAAATGCCGACAGCAATGATTTGAATTAAGAAATCAATATTAAAATCACAAATTAAAACAGCTGGTAAATTGAGAAATGACATGTAATCTAGGATTTCATTTGCGCGTTTAGGAGATTCATCGATATTGCACGAGGGTGGACGATAAACCGAAGCAATCATTGACCCAGGGCATTTTACGAAAATGGATTCATAGTTAACTCCGACAGGACTAAATACTCAAGGTTATATTTTAAATAAAGTGAAGCACCCCCTCCCCTTTCTTACGGTGTTTTCTGTAATCCCCTTCAGACTTAAATCCTGCAAAATTAACGACATCATCTTCATTTCATGTTTAAAGACGGGATGGTTCCCTCTAATCCCGAGCGAAAGGAAAACGAATAGAAAGTTGAGTACTACTGTGCCCATCTCTATGGGGGTCATAATGGATCTTCAACCTTGCCCGGAAGTTGGCTTTGCCAAAAGTGGCACAGGTCCCCGGTTATTCTGGCGTATAGGGACGAGCAGCCCGAATTCCGGAGCCACCCTCGCTGCACGGGCATAGGGTCGAGGTAGCGAACCGCGTCATAAGATACTTGCGCAAGTTCATACAGGCCTGCCACCTTTCGCCACATCGGGGCTGCCTTCAGACAGTTGTAGAAAACGTGCTTGTGATTTTCCAAGCACTCCGGGCATCTGTCTGTCCTACTGAAGCCCGTGCGTAGGAGGCGAATGAGCACCGGGAGGGCGCAGGTCTTCAAGGTACGAGCGATTTGCGTTTCTGTGGCGCCGCGGCGCTCCTGAGCTAACATAAATATATCATATATCATATCATATCCAAAATTTCCAACGCTGCCCGGATTCCTGCTTCCGACGTGGTGCAGACCCTCAAATCGTCGGCGTAGGCAAAAACTGTCGGTCTGTTGATCTGTGGCAGCTCAATAGAAGCGCTGCAAGCCCCCCAAAATTCTGCACCTGAAGCCCAGCCGTTCTAGGACGTAAAACATGTACTGGTAGACACCCAGTCAAACGCTCTTTGTTGGTCTCAGCACTAGCGTAGCGATGTTGCGGCTGCCTGCCGAGTAGCTGATCGTCTCGGAGGGCGAACAACTTCTGCTGAATCGATTGACGGGGGACTAAACACATCTGCTACGGTGACACCAGTTTTCCCAGGACGGACGCCATCCAGGTTTAAAGGACCTTCGCCAGGATTTTGCAAGAAGTGCTTAGCAAAGTGCTATACAGTCTCCACGCTAACAGGCCGCTCTGATGTGCGGTGTCATTGAAGATAAGCTTGACCAAACCAAGACGCATGGACAGCGATAATATCCCCTCTCCTAAACTGGTGTTGTATGCTCGCACAAGCGGGTCAGCCAGAAGGTCCCAGAAGGAAAGGAAAAACTCGGCTGGCAGACCGTCAGGACCCGGAGCTTTGCCTTTGGAAAGAGAAGCCAGCGCTTCCCAACACTCTGACCTCGTAACTGGCTCTTTGAGGCACTTTGCCTCTTGCTCTGTAAGCCTTGGCAACGCGTCGCATAGATCCAATCACGCGGAATTGTCCGCCTGTCTCTCCCCGATATAGGCGGGCATAGATAGCCCCGGCATTCCTCTTCAATTTCTTCCTGCGAGGTCAGGGTCGCCCCGCGCTCTCCGTTACGATTTGGGGTATCACGTGGTAGTCCGCCTTGAGTCGGGCCGCCAGAGCCGCTATTGGTGATGTCGCTTGCAACGTCAGGGTTGTTTCTCGAGGTGTTTCGGATTTATCCGAAAACACGGAACCCTAGTCATAAGGCACTATAGGTAAATTTCTCATCCACTGCGTAACATGTCGCCATGTCTCACGATGTAAACATCTAACGGCTGATCCAACTGATTTTTTGACAAGTAAAAGGAATACGACCAGATTAAAAACAACAACAACAACAACAACAACAAAGATAAAGAAATTAAAAAGTCAGGCGTCACGTCCACATCACAAAGCCCCACGACATGACCGTATTTTCCATTTAGAGCAAGCATTTTGTATACATCGACCTATACCGCTAAAAAAAAAAGAAAAAGAAAAAAGAAACACGATCTGAAACAATGTTTACGAGCGAGCGGAGCCCGATGACGAGGTCACGTCGTCTCCCAGGGGCGGGCTGCCTGGTGCGCCTCCGACTCCGGAGGAACGGTTCAACGATCCTGCACGACGTCGACAAGGCGAATGGTTTTCGAGGTCGACGTCGTCGGAAGGCAGCCTCGTCATCCCACTCGCCGCAGAAGCCGCCGTCGTCACAGAAGGGCGCGTCTCTTCTCTTTGTGACCAGAGGGACAGCTACGCGGCCCGCTGCGCGTCCTCCTGCTGCATCCACGGGAACCGCTGTGTCACGGTTCGACGTCTCCACCACTTTCACTGGGGGGGATGGATGCTGCGACAGGAAGGGAGGGAAGGAGCGCCTCGCTGGCTATAAATCGGAGAATGCAGGAAAGCGGCGGCTTCTTGGTGGTTCCGGTCTTGGCGTCGTGAGGGTCGTCCTGGTGTCTCTCCGGGCTTACTCCAGGGGAGCAGCCCGTTGGAGTTATTACTGGGCTGGTTAGTGCCTGCCGACTCCACCTCGACTGTCAGCATGAGGCGATGGAGGATAGGGGTCTGGAAGGTAAGCTGGGTGTTTTCCGTGTGCACGATTATCGTCGAAGAAGCGTTGCTGAAGATTTGGGAATCGCTGAAGGTGGTCACGCGGTGATCATCATAAATTCGAAGAACATGCAACTTTTCGCTTTTTAGGATACTTATAAGTCACTGTTTTAATAGAACTTTGGGGACGTCTCGTAAAAAAGTATTGTTGACAAAGTTGAGATAGAAAAAATTTACAAATACATTTTTGCCATTACGCATTAGAATAGTATTGCGTTTAAAAATATTCGAAGTGATGGCACATAGCTGTAACGCTTCACTTTTTTAATTGTGCATGTTATAAAAATAAGATAAACTTTTCCCCATTCACATTTTACGAACACAAAAATAAACACAAAACACTAAAGTATCGGTCTTTGTCTACCTAAGTTTTTGATCACGGGATGATCAGATGAAACCGTTTTTGTTTAAATATTTGATTTTAGGTGTCTAAATTTATAATTCTTTTTTAGATATTGTAATTTTAAAAGCATATAAATTATTAAAAAAAAAACACTAAAAAAGATCCTTGATATGCAAACATGTTAATCTTTACCTGGTACAGTAAAAATGCAGCCCTGGTGTTTTTGGTCGACGACGCACAAGATCACAACCTTAGGCAAGCACAAACGATAATATTTCTAATTACATGCCATGACAATTTTTTTGCAATTTTTGATTACATATGCGTTTTCTAAAAAAAATTGTTTTAGCGAAAAGATTCTTCTTTTTGTTTCACACACCTAAATATAAGAAATTTATATAGTGAGAGGGCATAGCCTTGAGCTCTCGCGTCAAGTATTAAGAAAAAAAAATAGTGATGACGTCATTAAAAAGTCGAGAACTGTGAAGTGAGTTTCACTTTGTTAATTTTTTTTTTGTATCACGATTCCTTATATCTAAGTTACAACATTACTTTTAACAAGATGTTTCCAAGGGGTAGGCATACTGCAATAGTGATCAAGCGGCATGTTTTTAAGTATATTGATTTAAGTTACAAAAAAAAAAAAATTGAATGTTAAAAAAAGTTTAAGGCCGTCATGGTGCCTCGAGGCTGGTTAACACACTTGCGTTTGAATAGGACCGACTGTGCCACGATTAGTTTTTAAGCCTCTCCTGTCGTAAACAGTCGCATGTGTGTGAACGAGTTTACAACATTAATGTTTCCCGTACACGTTTCTGATAAGGTGATAGCTGCAGGTCCCTTGGGTTTTTTCCCCGTTGAGCATTTTTTTCTACTGAATATATATGAAGCTAGCGGGTGCATTCACGCTTATATCTCTGTTGGATTTGCTAAGAAGTGATCATGTGAAACACCATAATAAACATTTATAATTTTTTGGGGGATAACGAAAATTGTAAAGATCAGTTCGGTTCCGAGGCGCTCGACTGATTAATTCAATACAATCGCACCTGTACATTTTTGAAACATATGTAAGCTTCATTATTGAACAAGGAAGACTTACTGTCGGCAACGTATGTTCTAAAATTTTTGGGGATTTTACATATGTTGAATGAATAAGAAAAATACATTATCGTTCGGCTGCCCTCGGTTGGCTTCGATTGACGAATTGCTCGCTGCAATGACCAAGAAAACGAAACGTTCTTCGAAGTAAGTTGTAGTAGGCAGGTTATTTATAAGGACACAAAGATGTCAAGCCTGTTTAAAGATGCTAATATGTACCTTCATGGAAAATGAGAATGGTTAGAGAGAGAGTAGACAAAACACACAGGGGAGAGGGAGAGCAAGATATAGAAAGCGCACTTACATAGCGTATGGAGAGATCCAGTGATTGATATATGCCACAAAATCAAATATCTAAAGGAAAATCACGTATCTTAATGATAAAAGTTAGCCCAGTTTATAACTATCTACCTAATTGAGTGTATCAAATGGGTTAAAAAATCTGTGCGCCGGTGGACTTGGAATCTTCTGCTACAGCAGTCCAGTTACATAATAGCATATGAAAGAGTTTTGCGTTCTTATGCTTAATGCCACGCTTTCATGTGTTATTCTTGGGAAACAGTAAAGGTAAACTAAGACAGACATGCACGTTGAATACCCCACTTACTCCACTTAGCTTATCGCATAATAAATATCTTTGGGAGTTATAAATTACGTCAGAAATTCGTTTTTTGATTGCACAATTTAAAACATTGTGAGTAGCTTGTACTTACTGGAATTACTGATCTTATTTCAGGTTTCTTTCTTCGGAACTGGTAGATGATCGATAAAATGACCAGCTCGAATTGTTTTGGTTTGCACACTTCAGTCGTTTAACTTTCTCCTCACATTTACGCGCAATGCTTGTCCATGTGTGGAAAGACGACATCAGAGGGCGCAGGTGCTTTGGAGAGGGCACGTCGTAGCCTATTAGCGCAGGAGAACCAAGAAACTACACATTTGTCCGTTGATTGGACAATGTCTGAGCCGTTTCGTCCAGTCTTAGTGGAACTGGTTTACGTTCCACATACCAAAGTAACCTGTAGGTGAAGCTCATGCGGAATGCACGGTGTACATATACCACTGCAGGGTAGGAGGGCATGTGTTTTGATACAAGAAAGAAGTAATATAAAACGCTTGTAAAACAAAGTTGGTGATGAAGTCCTATGTAGGAGCCAGTCTTCGACAATTTCAAGTTAAGGGACTGCCTCAAGAACAAATATCTCCGGGGCTTTCTGGAGGAACTTAACGAGACTGCCTGCAACGTTAGATTATTCGGCTATTCCCTTTAAAGAAGGAATGACCGAATAATTTCATCTAACACATTATTCGGGGCAGCTTGACGTACAAGGAATTCATGTTTCGTTCTGCCTTCTAATGCTGAGAAGTTCGTTAAGAAGTCGCCTGGCTTAGACATTTCGTCGATGGCAATGATGGTGCGATAGTATTTTATAAGGTTTTTGATGTCGTGACGTCCTGGTGTTGCATGCCATTCTAACTTGAATCTGTGACGTCAATTTCCCTGCTAAATTTAGCGGGGGAATTGATGTCACGTGATACCATTATGTCGAGTGGCATTGTGATGTCACGAATTCAAACCGACACGAACAAAAAAGATAAAGCCAATGGAGAGTTTCCAAGCAAAGCGTTTGCGCTAAAAACAAAATAACTAGTCAAATATGGTTTACTCGGCTGACCCTGAAAACTATATTGTTTTATTTCTGTAGGAAACTATATTCAGTAGCACTTGGTCCGACGCCTCACTGTAACTTACGCAGACGGACACGTCTAGGCGCGATGTGCATTTCCTCCTATAGTGGAGCTACCACGAACTCGCCACCGAACAAAAGAGTCACGCACAAACATGGCTAGAGCGCTGTTGGTTCAGCGATAAAGAGTCTTCCCCCGGCAGTCGCCATTGAAGTCCCTGGCGTCGTCTGCGTGCCCGTGTGAAGAGCACGCCGCCTCTTCCGGAACGGAGATCTGGCGTGGCGGCAGGGCGCTCACGGCTCGGCGACCGCCAAAGGATCTGGGACGGCGCCTAATTCAGCCGAATAGAATGTAAACTCGACTCCGACATTCATTTATAACGCGGCGGTAGCGTCCCGAGAGTGTGCTGTGGCCGACATTCGGCGTCGGTGGATGGATGGTTGCCGCAGCCGGACTCCGGGACAGCGTACACGGTTGAAGGCGTCGCGCCATCTGGGGTGTAACGGAAGCGACCGCAGAGCCGCGATTCAGCGCGGGGTTTAATTTGAGAGGCATTTAAGAAGGACTTGAGGGAGGTTAGCGCTTTTTCGTAGGGCAATTAGGACAACGCCGAGTGTTATCTGATTCGAGCAGATCGCTTGCTTTTAACATGTATCCACTTTTGAGTGAAATAACCATTTGTGCGTGAATTATCGACCCTCGTGTAATAAGCTTTTCTTTATTATTTTTATGCGCTATGCAAGAAAATTTGACTTTAGATGCACGCATCGACTCTTTTACGTTTACAACACGCACTCGTTTTTATTCGTGGTATTCAATTCTTATGTAGTACCCATACACCACAGCTATTAAGCATATGCTAAATACATTTAAATGGTTTACGATTGCCGAAAGAACAAAAAACTAGGGTGTCTTTTTAATTTTAGATTAATTTCTTTTTCTAAGATAGGTGTCATTTTTAAACAAATGTATATCGCAAAAACAAAATGCTTGCACTGTTAATAGCGTATTGCACCCCCCCCCCCCCTCCCTTTTGTTTCATGAAACGACACCAAGAACGGAAATTCTTGAATCGTTCTCTTTAATAATTACTAATGGCAGGAACCTACAACAGTCACTCGAGTGTGTTAATAAAACAGGGTGTTTATTGTGTTCATCAGCAGCAGAGTACGAACCAGGACGTCTAAACCACTCTCTTTTGTTATTTCTTATATCCGAGTTTCCATCCATATTATTAGGGGAAAAAAGAAGAAAACGAAAACAATTTATGAATGAAGTTAATGCAGGAATGCAGGCGAGCTGGTTGAGAACTGACATTTCCTAACCACGGAGAGTAAGGAAACAGAAGGACAGGACAACACAAAGTCGGGTCACTTCCTGTCCTGTTTCTTCACTCTTTAAAAAAAAAAAAAAAAAAAAAAAAAAAAAAAAAATTATTTGTTGCGTGTTTATAGACAAAAAGAGGTCGATTTGCACTTAAGGTTCATGGTTCATGCTGTAAACGCCGATGCTACGGTTATTGGGAAAAAATTTAATGTTCTGAAACGTTCCTAACGCACAGCTTTATAACATCCTCAGTTTCTGAATGCTATCAACATATATGTCCTTCGTCGACTGCAAATTTTAAATTCACTTCAGTGTCCCTACTTCGATAAATAAATAATAAACGATAGGGCACCTGCAAGTGCGTATAGTAATACATTTTGATCGAAATTACGGTTTGCATTGTAGCAGGTTTTTAAAATATGAATAAACGATGTCCTGATCTCGTGGCGAACCCGCCACGAGATCAGGAGATCTTTGTGGCGGGTTCGCAAAATTACCGCAGATTAAAATGTCCGTTGCGGCAATCGTTCATTAATCCGTAGTCAAACTGCTCATAAATGGACCACAAAGCACGGTGTCTGCGCATAAGTGTTTGCGGATACGTTCAAGATGCATATTCGAAGCATATTTGCTTGACACGTATTATACTTCCAAAATGTCTAAAGATAGTCTTTTATGACCGATGTGAGATTATTGACAGACAAGGAATAAGAAACATGCCTCAGAGAGGGACTGCAGACTGTCTCTTGTATGATGCATTAGCAGTATCACCCCCGCGACTGCAGTCGTAGACCTCCTCTTCCCCATCGCTACGCTTTTCGCAGGAAGACGCGATTACTCTGTAGGCGGGCAACTATAGCCTCGTCTGCAGAGTCGAGACGGCGGAAATCACCTACAAAAGCTCCCTATTGATGGGACATACAATTCATTTTACCAGTTTTCCGCGCACATATTATTGAACCCCTTTTTTGTTGCGCAACATCTGTACCTGCTGCAGGAAACGAGCTTGTCCGGTGGTCTCATCTGCGCCCTCCTGCTGCTCCAGACGGCGCTGCAGCAAGTGTCGGCGTCCTCCCGCTCGCGGTACGGCCGCAAAGGACGCATCCAGCAGACCGCGGACTCGTCGGACGAGCCGTACTGGTCTCCACCGCCGCGAAACTCGCACCACGGCAACCGCCGCTACGACCAGCACTTCGACCAGCCCCCGGACTACTACTACGACTACAAGCACGACTACAAGCACGACTACGACATCGTCTTTCCCCTGCTACTTCTGATCATGGCGCCACTAGCCGTGTCTGCGTTCCTGCTGCCCATCACGGCTTCCCTGATGACCAACACCTTCTTCTTGGTCAACGGCGCGACGAATGCTGCCATTCAGGGACGTCGGAGGAGGAGCGCGGGCAGACAGCCGTCTCAAGAGTTGATTGGGTTCCTGGACGAGCTTGAGAAGGCCATCAGCAAGTACGGATTGCAGAGTGCCCAGAAGCCGTTGAAATCGGTCCCAATTTGAGGAGCTGGCAGCAGATCGGGTTGTGGGCAGAACTTGCGACGACGGATATGGATGAAATGTGCCACGGAATGCATCTGAGTCGCACGAGAAGCAGCGAAAAACGCCACGGACTTAAGTTTCTCGACAAGGAGGTGGTTTCCGGAACGAGCGACTTTGGGGAGTTTCATTTCACTCCCATTTTTACATCCAATATGACGTTCTCGGAAAATGTCATGCGCGTTGGATGTTTCTTTGTTCATTGTGCCTTTGCTCTCTCACGAGCAATAGAAGAATCCCAGCGAACGGATTAAGCTCAAAGTACGATTAGGCCTAAAAGGAGCGTTGTGCTTAGACACAATAAGCGATCGAAACGTTTTGTTCATTGTCACTGTGTACCATGCAGTGTTGGGTAAAAGATTTAAAAAGTACTCGTAGTAAAGCACAAAATAAATTAGAGGTTATGTACTTCAAGTTAAGCACTAGGTACACAGGGCGCAATGTACTTAAAGTAAAGTACTATAAATACAATGTCCTTTCAAGGTAAAGTACAAGTAGTTTTCAACACAATCTTTTATGATGCCCTTTCAATAAAAAATACATTGTATTAAAAAACAAAAACTGGTACGCATTGCCCCAGGGGTAATGCGGGTGCCTCAGTTATTTTCAGAAATGGCGGCAAATATTGGATAAAGCAAAGTGATCACAAAGTAATTCTTTTGAGAAATGGCGCCAAATTAAGAAGTTCCTTTGAATTCTGAATTTTGCGCCGCTTGCTCTGGCTTGCACCTAAGGGGGTTAAACATACTAAGAGGGACCATGACGCCAGCCCCGTAGCTTCTGCAAGCAATAATCTCGTGGAGGAGTGTCCTCTCCTAATATTGTTAACCTCCTGGCTGGCGCTGATTGAACGAGAAATAGCAAAGAGTTCGAAGTGCTGCAGGAGAGCCGTCCCCAGTACAAACAGAGCGATGCGTTACTTGCTCGCGTTTCTGGCTAGAGTAGAATATCCCTTCCTGTATATCTGCAGAGTTTACAAAGGATAACTTTGCTATACAAATTTAACAAGCCAAAATGTGGGGAATATAATGTGAAGTCGAGAGTTGTACTATCCTCGGAATTATGCTTTGTCAACCCTCAAGCCATTTGACTTTATCAAATATTTGCCGCCATTTCCGAAAAGACCTGCTGCACCCCCGATTACCCCTGAAGCAATGCATGCCAGTTAAAAAGAAATTATATAGGCGAATGAAACGGAATGATGAAAGATTCTGTTAAAAAAGCATTTGTGCTTTACTTTGAAAGTACATTGTATTTATAGTACTTTACTTCAAATACAATGCACCCGGTATACTTACTACCTTACTTTAAGCACATAACCTCTACTTAACTTTGTACTTTATTTCAAGTACTTTTTAGATGTACTTTACCCAACACTGACGACGGCCCATAGAAGAAGTTAGTTTTTCTCAATTATATTTTGATCCAGGTAACGTCAATGTTTTCAAACATTCGCATTCTATCCCAACCGCTAGCGTCATTTTCTCACGGAGTGTAAGCATTCTGCGATGCGTATAGTTTCTTTAATCGCGCCGAAAAACACGGTTCTCTGTTCTCGGGACCTCCCTGTATATAGTACTACTTCTCAACACTGCTGTGCGCATTGCACCTTTCAGATCTAATTGTATTATGAGCTTCATCATTCGCTGGAATCTTTCTGTTCACCATGACTGGCTATCTCGCGTTCTGCAGGAAAGTAGACACATATAGCTTTTTGAGAGTGCGTTCACTGACACCTTATTAAGAAAAGCAGGGCGTGACTGGTAATGTTAAAGACTTTATGCCGCGGGCTTCGCGCTTCGATGTTCTTATCGGCTAACATGTCGCACCGTCATTGGCTGCCGAGCAATGCGGAGCGCAAATTCGTCTGCTTCTTTTGCAGGGGTTGTGGTGACGTCAGAACGCCGAGCTCTGATTGGATCGGATTAAAGGATAGTGGTATAGACCTGAAAGCAAGCTGCCGTGAGGTCTACCCACTACCTTTAATGCGAGCCAATCAGAGGTTGTCGTTCTGACGTCACCACAACCCCTGCAAAAGAAGCAGACGAACTTGCTCTCCACATAAGAAACTTGGAATTGACCGCACTCTGCGTCTTTTGAGCTTGCGGCGACCATATTTGCGTAGCGTATTATTATTATTATTTTTTTTTTACGTTCTCAAAGGTGTTTAATTGAGAATGTTTACTCGCTGTTCTTACTGCGTTTTTCTTTGATAAATTTTATTCGTTTTTAATGACGCGAGTCAGCTTTTTTATATTTTTTATGCAACTTGCCGTCATTCATTTCCTGGTTCTTTATCCCAGTAAATCGTAATTTTGGGGGACAATCGAGCTTTGTATTCGAAGAAGCATCAGGTTCCTTGACTTTATTATTTATTTACTTCTTTATTTGTTATTGAACTGTTGTCACTGAATGTAAAGGTTTTACGAGATAAAGCCACCTACAATGACATAACAACAACAAAACAAAAATGAATTAATAAGAAGTTCACAGACAACGCACACGGACACAGACTCGCGCCATGATGTCAATAAACGCCAACGAGGCAGAAACACTACGAGAATATATGGAAGTCAGATCCATAGAAGTGCGTTTATGTTTCGAGGAGCGTTGGTGCTTTCCTCGATGGTGGAAGTCAGCGGAATAAAGAGAACACTGGCACTGATGTCTCGGTAAGGCAATTCCTGAATATTTTCCCGAAATGTTTTGAGTTCGATCTGCCTTGAGTTTTGGCTCACCAGTCTCAATTCGGCTGGATTAATTCTAGAGTCAGTCGAATCGGCATGCTAAGCTCCCGCTCGTGTATGTGTATTGCGAAGAAGGCCGAACCATGACCAAAGGTTTTTTTTTCGTGCATTCTCCAGTTTATAATTTTTAGTTAACATTCTATGAGCATCCTCATGTAAATAAAGGTCGGACTATTCTAGGAATACAGAGATACCGAGGGTCATATTGTTCCCCTTTCTATCTTCTTTTAAAATGCGTGTATGGCAATACCCCGCTATTGGAACACTTGACAATTTGAATTTCTGCTTTAGCGAATTTTTTCGGTCTTGTAAATGTACGCTGAGCGCTTCTATAGTTTCTATTTGGGCCTGTTAATTAAAACCTCCCTATACGAATGACCCAGGCAAACACAAAAAAAAAGTCTGCGCGTCTACTTTCACGCACAACACTCGGAGAGCCACTCACCTGATCTTACGGAGGCAGCTCAGCGAATGACGATGCCGAAACATATGTTTAGACCAAAAAGCGCTGTCTGAGTCGTGACATTAAGCAATGCTAAAACGTCGCGCTTGCATTACAACTCAGACTGCGTTTTTTGGTATAAACATATGTTTCGGCATCGTCATTCGCTGAGCTGCCTCCGTAAGATGAGGTGACTGGCACTCCGAGTGTTGTGCGTAAAAGTAGTTGCACAGAATTTTTTTTTTTGGAGTGCAGTAAACATAGAGCATTCGATTGTTAACCCTTTAGCCAGACTCAGAAACGACTAATTTTTTGCTTTAACTTTAACTAAAAAATGCAGCGTCGATTCTTGGATAGGCTATAAAACCGAAAAACAAACAAGCATGGTACGTTATTGCCGTTATTGTTTATTGTTCGTAGGAGCTTCAGCTTTAAAGCAAACATTTTGACAACAGGAGGCTTTCGTCGGTCATTAATTAATATTGCTGAAACCGTCCACATGATAACGAAAACTCGCAGGCTTTTCTGAAAAAGAAAAACCTGCGGGTTTACTTTCCCGCAATACATAGAGACAACCAGTTGAGGCGAACCATAGAAGGACCCCAGCGAACAATGAAATTGAAAACACGACTAGACTTAAAAAAAAGAAAAAAAAAAAAAGAAGAAGAAGCGATATGTGTAGTAATAGCAAGCGAACCGTCATTCTCATTGTTCCTGCGCGCTTCGATGTGTTTGGTTTAATGTTTATCTCGATCAGCCTCCTTATTCGCTGGTATCCTTCTATTGTTCGCCCCGATTGGCTGTCTTCGTGTTTTGCAAAAAAACTGAAATCACGGATTTTCTTTTTATGTGTGCCATTTTTGATCCAGTACGAACTCTAAGAAGTATGAAAGAGCCACTCACCCGCAAGGCACTTCAGAGCCCATTGCTGCAACCTACGTCAAGAGCTGCGGCGATGGACGAGGCTGGCAGACTGAGCTGCGTACAATGAGCGCGGTGTAACTTTACGCTCAGTGCCACAGCGCACACAATCCTATTTATGCGTAAACAAATATCAGCCTCGTCATTGACCTAAGCGCCTTCGTAGATTACAGCGTGATCCGGACATTTCGGTGTACGACGTTTCGGTGTGCACTCTAAAAAAGCTCGTGCGTCTACTCTGCAGCACAACGCTCGGAGAGTCAATCACCGCAGCTTACGGAGGCAGCTCAGAGAATGACGATGCGAAAACATGCTTAGACGAAAAAACGCAGTCCGAGTTGTGACATTAAGCAATGCAGGCGTGACGTTTAGCATTGCTTAATGTCACGACTCAGACTGCGTATTTTGATCTAAACATATGGTTCCGCATCGTCATTCGCTGGGCTGCCTCCGTAACCTGCGGTGATTGGCTCTCCAAGTGTTGTGCGGAAAAGTAGAAGCTAGGGCTTTTTTTTAGAGTGATATAGGACTTTTCGGCGCGGCCTTTTCGGCGCACGGACGTTTCGGTATACGGACGTTTCGGTGTACGGACGTTTCGATGTAGGGACGTTTCGGTGTAAATACGATCTTTGGAAATGAATAGTTGAACCTCCAGACATTACGGACCCTTGTAAACTTTAGTATTTCGATGCATAAGAGGTGCAAGATTGCAGATTTGTCTTAATTTAGCAGTGTTTTTGTCCTTTGTGAAAAATATAGGAAATATAGACGTCAACAACAACACTCATTTGCGCCTCCGATCCAACAATAATATATACAAAGTTATCTTACTGCTCGGAAAGATATCTGAATACAATTGTGAAGGCAGTCGTTATGAGAGGCTAAACCATCAATACACATTAAAAAACAATGCAACGTGTTTTTTCTTTTTTTGGGACAGGTACTGATGCAATTTAAGGGTTAGTAAGGATCGTTTTAGCTTTAGATTAAGGAAGGCAAAATGATGGTATAAAAAGTCACCAGATACAAATATTGGAAACATTGGCGAGATGGGACAAGTAAGCCGAAGATAGTTTTTTAGTCATTCATTTAA